GGTCAGCATGAAGGTCCAGCATGAGGGAAAAGGCTGCTTTCAGCTTTTCAGCTAGTACACCTGTATTGCGAGCCGTTAGTTTAGCGTTACGTCAGTGCTGACAGGTGGTTGGGGGTTTCAATAGACGGGGCGCTCGTTTCTGCTGATGGAGCGGGGTGCCCCACTTGTATAATGGTAAGGGAAACACTGCAGTCAACATGTGTTTTGTGGACTTGGAGAAGGTGTTTGACCTTGCGCAGTGATTGCCGGACATGGGCACCGGCGACCCCCGTGACCCAAAATGGAAGAAGTGGGTAAAATATGATGGATGGATGGATGAATAGTTTGTTGTTTTTCTATTAAATGACCTGCAGGCACATTTTTAGTACATATCTCTAAAACACAGAATTGTTTGTTTGTTTGTCCCCCCGTTCTGTGTGTGTTTCTATTAGGTCGTGTGTGTACAAGAATGATCAGGCTGTGAAGGAAAACACCAGTAAAACTGTGCAGGAAGAGGAGCCGTGTCCACGCTTTGCACACCAGCTGGTCTACGATGAGATGCACAAAGTAACAACCAGCACCAAATCACTCCAAATCACTCCAAACATTTCTCATCAGTTCATTCACATTCTCTGACTCTACTCCACCTTTTTACCACATTCAATGGTCAACCTCATAGTGCTGACAGAAAAATCTTGTATTGACACATTGTAAAACTCTTTATCAATGAAAGACAAATACTGTAAAATCTACAAGTTTTAGGAAATATGAACTAGGGCTGAAAAATTGATTACATTTGCGGTATCGCAATATCATAAATGAAGATTTTCTAATCACAAAGGCTGCAATTTGACTGGTTACGTGACTTGCGAGTGAGTGGAGAAAAGCAGAGCAGGGTGCATGAGAATTCAACACTGCGTTTTAACTTTAACCGGTTGCACAGTGGCGTCAGACTCGACAGAAGCAGCCACATCTGAAAGTTTGGCTATAAAAAAGAAGACACTGCACAACGACATGTATTGTGCAGAACCTGCCTTGCTGCTGTTGCTACCTCTTGAGGTAACGCCACAAATATTTATTAACACTTAAAAAAACACCACTAAGCCATTTATGATAGTTGCATGGCTAGAATGCCAACGACCAGTGCTTCAACTTCAAGTAGGCAAAGTACCAGCCGACATGGATCACTGGCCGAACTGTTTGAAGGTATTACTTCGTATGAACATAATTCAAAACGGCATGTAGAAATAACTCGAACAATAACAGCGTTCATAGTAAAAGACATGATACCCATTAATAAAGTGACCAAGTCTGGCTTACAGCTTTGGTAAACACAGTGGATAAGCGGTACAGAACGCCCTGGCGCACACATTTTAGCCAAGTTGCTATCCCGGCGCTACACAAAAAATGCAGAAACAGAGTTGCAGCGGAGCTGAAAACTGTGGAGTTTTTTCAACTGAAACTGATTTATACCATACCATACCATTTTATTTATAGAGCACTTAAAACGGCGACAAGGCCAACTAAAGTGCTGTACAGACCGAATAACAGGTAACACACAAAGCAACATAGAAAATGAAGTAAATCAGAAATATAGACATAAAAACGATGCAGATAATGACGATTAACCAGTGTGGAGCATACAGGATCAAACACAGATCATCTGGTGTTGAATACTACTGAATAGTAGTGAGTTTTTAAACGGGACTTGAAAACCGAGAGGGAGAGGGACTGTCTGACAAGCAGAGGTAACTCGTTCCAGAGTCTTGGTCCTGCTACAGAGAAGGCCCTGTCACCTCTGCACTTAAGACGAGTTCCTGGAACTGTGAGGAGCAACTGGTCCGCTGACCTCAGGGAACGTGTTGGAACATACGGTTGTAGCAGATCAGAGAGATAAGGAAGGACGAAACTGTTCAGTGATTTGTAGACATATTTTGAACTGGATTCGAAAGTGAACCGGTAACCAGTGCAGTGAGGCCAAAACTGGTGTAATGTGCTCTCTTTTGCCTGTACTGGTTAAAAATCGGGCTGCTGCATTCTGGACCAGTTGTAGTCGTACTATGGAGGTTTGACTGATGCCAAACAGGAGGGAATTGCAGTAATCAAGCTTAGATGTAATGAATGCATGTATTACTGTCTCCAGGTTCTTTTTGGACAATATGGGCTTCAGTTTAGACAGCCGCCTCAGTTGGAAGAAACATGATTTAACAGTCATGTTTACATGATTAAGTTTTAGGGAAGGGTCCATTATCACTCCCAGATTAGTGACTCTTTGTTTTTCTTAAGGGGTCAGAGCAGAGAGGTCGATGCAGTGGTTTGTGATTGTGTCATTGGGAGGGAACAACATGACTTCAGACTTCTTTTCATTGAAACTTAAGAAATTTAAAGCCATCCAGTCCCTGATGTCAGCCAGGCAGTCGAGCAGAGTTTGAATAGAGCATGTACCATTGTGTCTTAGGGGGAAGTAAATTTGACAGTCATCGGCGTAGAAGTGGAAGGGCATGTTGTGTTTCCGGAAAATAGCACCAAGCGGCAGCAGGTATAAAGAGAATAGGAGGGGACCCAGGATGGACCCCTGCGGAACCCCCCATTTAAGCTCTGCCACTGCAGAACTAAAATCCTTGATGGAGACACAAAAGGATGTCAGTGAGGTAAGATCTGAACCAATTGAGGGCTGATCCTGTGACGCCCACCCACTGCTCCAACCTAGCAATGAGGATTTCATGGTCGATGGTGTCAAAGGCGGCTGTGAGGTCCAACAGGACAAGCAGCACAGAATCACCGGTATCTGTGGTTAAGAAAATGTCATTAAAAACCTTCAATAGGGCAGTTTCAGTGCTATGGAGAGGTTTAAAGCCAGACTGGAATATGTCTAAGATGGTGTGACCCTCCAGGAAGCACTTCAACTGGGACTCGACTATTTTATCCAGTACTTTAGAAATAAATGGAAGTTTGGAGACAGGCCAGAAGTTGGAAACGACTGAGGGGTCAAGGTTTGTTTTTTCAGGAGAGGCTGGACGGCAGCATGTTTAAAGGATTTTGGCACCACGCCAGTGGATAAACTACTGTTTACTATATCAAGAATGGACGGACCTAGAGTAGGAAAAACCTCCTTTAATAGTCGAGGGGGGACCACATCAAAGGGGGAGCCAGAAGGTTTCAAGCTGCACATGACCTGCTCTAGAGAAGATAGTGATGGGTTCAAAATGGTCAAATGGAGCTACAGATTGAGGTGGGATGGATGGGTCATGAGTTGGAGGGGAAATGAGAGCCCTGGTGGTGCAATTTTTTCCAAAAAGAAATGTAAGAAGTTGTCGCACAGCTCAGTCGAGGCTTCCAGAGGTGATGGTTCAGTGAGGTGGAGATCAGAGTTTAGGGTGGAGAAGAGGACACGTTGGTTGTGAGAGTTTGAGGTTATGATATCCGAGAAGTCTTTGGATTTAGCAGCTTTCACTGCTTTCTGATAACGGCGCCATCTCTCCTTAAGTATTTGAAAAGAGACCTGCAGCCTGTCTTTCCTCCACTTTCGCTCCGCCCTCCTACATTGCTGCCTAACGGCCTTGGTGACGTCACTCAGCCAAGGTTCTGCTCTCAGTTTTGATTTTTGGTTTTAACAGGCGCAACATGATCCAGAGTCTTTAATCAGACGGAGTTGAACTGGGATGTCAGCTCCTCAGTGGTGGAAAGAAACACTGGGGGCTGAATGATCATTTCAGAGTTATAAACATCTGTGAAACGTGTGGCAGTGAAGTGGTTAATGGTCTGGCTGCGACGTGCAGGAATGCACGGCTTAAGAGTTAGATGGGGGAGGGTAAACTCAAACCGGACTGACATGTGGTCTGAAAAAACATTATCACCAATAACAAGATTATTAACAGTCACATCATGAGTTAAAACAAGGTCCAGTGTATGTCCACGCTCTTGGGTGGGACCGTTTACATGCTGCGTTAGATTAAATGAGTCCAATAAATCTAAAAAGTCCTTAACCAAGGGCTTCTCAGGACAGCACGTGCAAATTAAAGTCCCCAATAATGAAAACATGCTCATATTTTTGTGTGATTTCAGCCAAGAAATCAGAAAACTCATTTATGAAATCCTTAGATCGAGGTGGGCGGTAGACGAGTGCAAATAACGTCGGAGGTGAATGTCCAAGTTCAAAGACGCTCAGCTCAAAGCTGGCGCGGGAAACTGGGATGGGCAGTTGTTTACAGTCAAAAGTTGATTTGAATATTGTTAATAATCCACCACCGTGCCGGCCTGATGGCCATGGGACGTTAAAACACAAACAGTTCGGTGGCAGTAATTCCGTCAAGGCGCTGGACTCACCCGGAGACATCCAAGTCTCTGTGATGCACAAAAAGTCCAACTCTTGCTCTTGAAAGTAATCCCTGAGGATAAAAGTTTTGTTTGTAACAGATCTTGCATTGACCAAACACATCCGGATACTGTCCAAAGTGGATCCAGCAGCGGTGGAGGGAGCGCGAATCAATGGCCGCAGGTTTTCAATAACAGCCCCTCCGTTGTTTACCTGGTCCGGGCACGCGGGAAGTTGGCGATTGAAACCATGACCACCAGCTGGAGAGGAAGATGCAGCGCGCAGAGTTTTTAGCTTTACCAGCCGCCCAGCTTGTTTTCCCCGGTGTCTGAAGCGATGTCTCCGGGCAGGGAGGTGAGGAGTGCAGCATAGGTAAGCTGGCACATCCGCCAGCAGGGGGGGAGGGAGGGGGGGGGGGGTCCTGAGGTACGCTCATATTGGTCCAAATAAACGACACCGACCGCAGAAAACCAAGATCCAGAAGCTGTTGTCGGTCATACATCAGCAGTGAGTTTATATCACAGATAAAAAAATGAACAAAACAAAAATAATCCGAACACCATCAGCAGAGGTGGATTGCAAGCCATGTACATGGGCGCCATCTTACCGAAAGTGATTTATTGATTGTGTTCATTGAAAAATATATGAGAAAAAGACTATGAAAAATAATCGCGTATTAAATCACATTTGCAATATTGAAGTAAATAATTGCCATTAGAACATTTTCCAAAATTGTTCAGCCTTAATATGAACCCAAGCTGCGTTGGTTGTTTGGATTTTGAACTGAAAACAAATGGAAAGCATTCAGTCTTTTTTTGTTTGATTACGATATAAAATAATTTTGACACAAATTGAAATCATCTTTATTAATGAATGGAATGCATAACTTATTATAAGTACTTGATATGAGGTCCGGGAGTTGTCAGCCGGTGCGCAGCTCGGACCGACTATGTTTAAAACTTTTAAATATTTCCAGTTTTTGGATGAAAACAAAAGTCAAACTTGGCCTTCTGTTTTAGTTAAAGGAAGACACAAAAATGTGTTTATAGGAACATTGTGGAAGAAATCTTTAATGACATATACATTAACTTAAGCTTAGGCTGTAGTACTAAATAAAGAAGATCGCGACTAAAAGGTACATGAAGTACATATTTTAGTTTTTTAATGTTTTTACCACTGAATTCAATACATCAGTTCTTGCTGCTTACAAGTAGATCAGACCAAATTGTTTTAATTTTTTCATCCCTAAATAGTCGATGAATACATTTCTGAAGCATTTTCTCTGTTGATAATCCATATTGTGTGAAACTGATCACAGTTTGTGCGCACAAAGTAAAATTAATTTTGTACTTTAGGCAGTTCAGTTGGTTTTCTCTTTTCCAGTTCAGCTTTGAAAAGTGTTTAATGTTCTGTTGGTTTTCAGGTGCATTACCTGTTCGGTGGAAACCCTGGGAAGTCATGTTCTCCTAAGATGCGCTTGGATGACTTCTGGTCCCTCAAACTGTGTCGACCCTCCAAGGAATACCTGCTTCGCCACTGCAGATACCTCATCAGAAAATACAGGTGTGCAGCTTTTTTTTTGTTTGTTTTAACCATTGTTGCTTCTTCCACTCTCACACTGTTCTGTGCATAGTCTTTGTTTTAAAGGGTCGCTTCAATACTTGAGGAACCCTTCACACTGGATGACAACCCTACAATGCTTTCCATGACCTTTTAGACTGGCCTACTGTAAATTTGGAAAACTTTATTCAGTGTAAAGTCAGTGTAGTGTTTGTGTATGAACAACAGATCCATCTTATCACTTTTCTTCTGGTTGCACTTTCTGTTGAGCAGTGTTTTCTCATTAGTGATGCCTGTTGTTCAGGAGGAGAACTAAGGCAGCATCAGCATAAACGACAACAAACGCTTAAAGGGTGCCTCATCTTGATCCTGTGGATCAGCTCATATTGCTGAAAGAATAAGTCAACTTACAAAGTCCATGCTCAATAATCCAGATACAATCCAACAATTTTCAGTCGGGTCATCTGGACAGTTTTTTTTTTTTTTTTTCTGAAACGTTTCACCTTCTATCCAGAAGGCTTCATCAGTCAAGGAAATACACAACACAAAACTGATTCTTCCCCCAAACATCTTACTCCAAAGTGGAACAAACCAGTTATGTTGGTGCTAAGATGGTGTCTTTGGCACGCCCCCTCCTCCATTGCCAGCCCTTTCCCTCATCAACAGTCAACTTGTTTTATTATTATGGTAGAAAATACATTTTGCTGCCAAGTTGCTGAAACAGTGTTCAACACATCTGATGCCTGGCATATATATTTTTTTTAATTTAGCATCAGGACACTTGCATTTTAGGTTTCAAATGTATTTTGTAGTTTTAAAAAATCTGTTTGAGTTGTCATTGGTTAGAATGAGACTCACTTTATGATAACTTTTACCAAATATCACATTTTAACTGAAGTGTAATTCCTATTTCTACTGCTGCCTGATCTGTTTTAAACCAAGAACACACATGACATTAGACAATCATAAAAAAGCATATAAAATGAAAAGTAAATAGAACAAATTATATAAAAACTAAACAAAAACTGCTACATCAGAAAGCGATGTAAATACTAAAAACAGGAACATATCTGATTTGGTTTTTCCCATGAACTTAGCAGATGTTTGGAGCCACTTAGAGAGGTCAAGGTTGAGAGCTTCAAATCTTTTTGCAAGATATTCCAGGAAAAAGGAGCGGAGTAGGAGAAGGTCCTTTTTGTCTAGTTCAGTCTGCACTAAGGGGACACTGGAGAGGAGTTCCATATAATTACATTAGTCAGAGTCAGAGTTTCTTTATTGTCATTCGCACCTCATGTGGTACATGTGGTGGAGCGAAATTATGTACACAGGGTCCCAGTTACATCCAACAATAAAATGTATAAGAAAAACAGTAATAACATCTAAGATATGAACTAAGAAAAACATCAACTAAATATACACTAAGCACTCATAACATAAAACATTGAACATCAGCACAAACATGAACATGAGTCTGTGAGCAGATGTGCACGCATGAACACATCAACATTGAAACAGATCAGCAGTAACATGAAACAGATCAGCAGCAACATGATATGGTTTTACACAGTGATTATTCTAGTTAGAGATTCATGAGTCTAACAGCCTCAGGGTAGAAGCTGTTCCTCAGTCTAGTGGTTCTACACTTAATGCTCCTTAACCTCCTTCCTGAGGGGAGTGGGGCAAAAAGTGTGTGTGCTGGGTTAGTGGGGTCTTTCATGATGCAGGTGGCCCTCTTCCTGCATCTGGAGGTGTAGATGTCTGTGATGGTGGGGAGACTGATTCCAACAGATTTCTGTGCAGCCTTCACCACTCTCTGCAAAGCTTTTCTTTCTGCAGCTGTGCAGCCTCCATGCCACACATTGATGCTCGAGCACAGGATGCTCTCCACTGCACACCTGTAGAAGGAGGTGAGGACTGAGCTTCCCAGACCAGCTCGCCTCAGCCGTCTGAGGAAGTAGAGTCTCTGATGAGCTTTCTTGATCAGGCTGGTAGTGTTGTTGCTCC